TATTCTAAATTCCACTTAAATTTGATCACATTCACTAAGTGCACAATACTCACTACCTTTGGATTTGCTTTGTGGAGTCTAACCATTATAGTACTTACTTTAGTGTGATACTAGCTGACTAAATTCAATATGCAGTCATAGAATTTAAATTCCTTAAATAAATATTCAAGTAAGCAATGAAACAATTAACCAATCACTTAATGCAAAATGAAAATAATTAAAGACCTAAAAATAATTCCGAACCAAATTTCTGCTGTTAGCAGTATGGAACAGGTGTTTACGCCCATATTTATCGACAATATATATCGATGTAACATTTTTTCTTCTTAAGCTTCTTGCTTTGACTAGATAATTTGTTAACCTAACTTTAGCTAACTTCTAATCTAAATAAAAGTTAAATCCAATAAGACAAAAGTTACTTATTGAAGCTTGCCCAAACCTCATTTTATTACTCCATAGCAAGAGCTGTGAAAAATACTTTACGTGCTTACCAGAGATTTAGGTTCAGTAAATCATCTGTGACCTATTACTGCTTTCCAAGTGTGCATCATTTCCTTCTTTTACACTGTTTCATTCTGCATACTTCTGGAGAGAGTAATGCGAACTGGAGGTGAGGAAATTACCGTGAAGCACTAAACATTCCATTATATTGAGACTTATCCTAATTTTGATTAGCAAAAATTCGGTTAGTTAGTTAAAATGGTAAAACGCACTCCCCGCTGATATATTGCTTAGTTTCGAGCGAGTCCCTTTCGACATATCAATAACGGTATTTGAAGATTTCAACCCCTTTAAAATGCTACCGGCACTTTTGTTTTAAGAAAGAATGCAAATTTAATTTTATTTAAATTATTTATTGATTCAAAGAAAATACTTTTATATCCGGTCATATTGTAAATCCTTATAATCACAGAAGTTGAAACAAATCAAAATCTTTCTTCCACTCCAAGCATTTCATGACTGTTATTGAACATTGAAAGACTCTTTTAATTACTTGAATGAAACTAAATAGTATCCTAAGAATAGTTTTGACTTCCTATTGACTTATTATTCATCTTGAACGAATTATGTGATCTCATCATCATTTTCTAAATAATATTAAAGATCATCTGTACCAACATTTAACTATTTATCAATTTCGAAATCATCTAATTTAAGATTTTTTTTTATCTCCACTGTCTATCAACATTGTATGTATTGTATCTGATATTTATTACCATATTGTTCAGCATCGCGCGCCTTCTTCTTCCCCCCCCCCTCCTGCTTAAAACATTTCCTAGGCCCATTGTTTTTTTTTTTTTTTTTTTTTTTTGTTTTTTTTTTTTTTTTCCCTAAGCCATTCTGCTTTTTGGTTTAAAGCTTGAAATTTTGAAGTCTGTATACTTGGACAGCTCACATAATTAGAATTTGTGTAATCGAACGCTCTTTTGTAATAAATTAACGGAATGGAGAAATTTATAAATGATGTATTGCTTCAAGTTCAAAGCAAAACTTTAGAATATAAAAGTGATAAGATACTTCTTCAAAGTTTTCATAAAATAGTAACATGTTTCCAAATGTTTTTTAGGTAATTTTCAGTTCTCGAGCATCAAGACCATCGTGGTTTAATCCTAACGAAGAAGAAAGGGAAATCTGCCAACGCAATGCAGGAAACCGTAAATTAATAGATGTAAAGAAGGTAACTACTGAAATATGCTTATAATTAACAGCCTTTGCGGAAGAAAAATACAGTAGTCTCTAAACCAGAAATCTTTTTTCATTATGTTTGGTATGTTGGTTGCTTTATTTAGGCAAAATACTTTAAAACACTCTGCTGAAACGGAGCAATACCTTCGATGAGGACTTTCTGAGGGAAAGGGCTCACTTTCATGTAAACCATGAAACCTTCACATAGTCAGCTCATTCGCTATTTTTTGAACCTAAGTCAAACTACTAGTGTTCAGTGCTTTATCATCTCGTCCATTTTTGGACAGTTTTAGTGGATCTTGTTGATTATGTAAATATAATAAACATTATAATATAAACTTGGGTTTTTTTTTACACTGAAATACGGAGTTGCTGAAATGAAAGATTTCACGGAACCAAATTTTTTTTCTCTCTGTTGAATTGTATAAATCTAAGTCGAAATTTACCATTAAGGGTGAATCGCTTTGGTATCATTTAGCCACTGCTTTGGCCTATTATATATAAATATAACAACGATGACTTGAAATCTTTATGTCAGTTTTATAATGTTTAACGTTTGGTTGAAAAAGAAATTTTCTAGGTTCCGTTATATTGTTATAATGTCATACTATTATTTTTAGAAAACCTGCTTAATGAATGAAACTACTGCGCAACAAGAGAAATACCCCAGAAAACATTAATTCAGAACAGTTTTGCAAACTATATAGCCATTTTTGGGGGCTGTAGCATTGTCAGAAAAATCTAATCGAAAGCCAAATCAGGTCGAATGAAATGTTTCTGAGGAATATTGCAAATTAACTAACTTCAGTATTAGGAAATCACAGGAAAAAGAAAGTACATTTTTCAAACGACAGGAGCAGATTCAACAATCAACCTGAGGAAAATATTAATTTTCGCTTGAGGAAAAATAAGTTTACATATTTAGCATTGGGAATTTTATAAGTGCATGATATTAAAAATGCGTGAGATAAGTTAGTGTGTGCGATTTTAAAAATGCATGGGATTTTAAAAAGTGCTTGAATTTAAAAGTTTTACCTGAAACAGCGCTTAGAGCTTCAAAAATAAGTATGATAACATTTATATACATAAATGTAATTTTATAAGAAACGTATTTTCTCTGGCGCAATCTATGGAAGATTAAACTGAATACTCAGAGATGCAAAACTTTTCTTTTCTGGAAATACAAAGAAATAAATTTGTTGATAGAAATATTAGATATAGTTGGGAATTTAATTTCAATCCGAGATTGTTACAAGTGTATAGCACAAGGGTTCTCAACCGGGGGCGGGGTGAATTCCCCTAGGGGGAATTTCATAGTTTCAGAGAAGGGGATGCAGTCAGCTTTTTATTTACTTTCTAAGTATTTCCTTTTATTATATTAATATAGAAAATTATTTTTATTCAGTTTTTGGTATTTATTAATATTTTCTATACTTTTAATTCTTTAATTTATAAAACGCTTTAAAAAAATCTAAATTTAAATAAATGTATACATATTTTTCGAGTTTGGGAACATGGTTTGGGGTAATGATCATCTAGCAGTGATAAAAAAAAAAAGGTACATGGAGCAAAAAAAGTTTAAAACACCTGCTCTAGAACTTACTTTGGGTTTCACAATTAAAAGTTAGAAATCACATTATCTAATATAGTTTCTAACTTTCTATTACGTGTCTATGAAGCAGACAGAATAATGTATAAAGTGTACGTTACTCCAAGCTATATCTTAATATTAATCGGACTTTGATGATTTCCCACTCTAGGGAACTGTTCCTAAGTTGCACAGAAAATCAAAACAGATTTTCAGAACAAAGCGTTACATGTTACTTGACATATGCGTAATACAGCTTTACATAAAACTTTTAAATATCATAATATTTAATAACTATATTCTTGCTGCTGCTCTTAATTATTATTCCAGTATTATCAAAAACTCATGCTTTATGATTTTGCAATTAAAGACTGTTTTAGTTCTCTTACATTATTTCCCATAACATGAACTTGAGTATAAACTTTGTATTTTCGAGTCTTAACTTTGTACTTTAAGCCAGCAGGTAATGATACCTATCAACAGTCTAAGAAAGATACTTTGATGCACGTTCGGGGTAAATGTATTTATCATATAAATGCAGCGAAAGGACGTTCAGTAATTTAAAATTGTAAGTTTTATACTAATAGAAAAAAGCCATCTACAATGTAAGAATAAACGTTTTTAATATTTCGACATTAGACAAAACTTAAATTTATGTCACTAAATATTAAATAAAAGCCAGCCTTCTTTCTAAAGAAGAACTGTATAACAAAACTTAGGACTTTCTTGTACGGCCTATTAAATTATATGTATTATTTTGCTGCATTTAATTTAAACTCATTTTCTAGAATTTTCCTAGAGATATATTTCTCATTCAATTAATTCAATTCTCACTTCGCGGTAGGGCAAAAGTACACATAAACTCAAAACATCTTCATTAAAAACTGAAAGGTATAGAAAAACATAAAACACAAATACAGTTAAAGCGGTCCTTTTTTTTCAGTTAAAATTAGAGTTTGCATGCAAGAGCAAGCATTTCGGCCAGAGGGCAAGAAGGAGAGGGCAGATTTTTTGGTGCAAAAAAAAATGAAAGTTCACTTTTGATCCTATTCGGCGAAAAGACCCTGAAGATGCAGAAACTGACTTAATTCGCTATTCGGCTAAGTTTGAAATGTAAACAAATGGCTGCTTCGTTATGATTAGCCGTACATAACAACATTTAAATTGTTTATAAATCTACAACTATTGCATGCAGATTAATTAAAGCCATAAAAACCTTAACCAGAAGTTAAGAACAACATAATTCAATCACTTTTAGAGCACAAAAATGCACAATTTACCAGCATATACGAATAAAAACTCTGAGCTCACCGAGTTGAGTAAAAGAGTGAGTATATATACCCACTCTCTCTTTATGTAAATATATATATGTATATATATTTATATACTTTTGGTGATGCCGATTGCAGCCAAAAAGTGAGATGCACAACTACATATTAGAGCAGACCCATGTACAAAATTTCAACTTCCTTCTTGTATAACGCGAGATACATATAAATGTACGTGCAGAAGTCACGGAAAAAATCTCTTCTGAATCAACTTTTAATCCGTTTTGGGGAAACGAAACCTTTATTCTGTCTGTATCTACAGATATCACGCAAAAACATCGTTCAAATGGATTCGAGAGCAGTAAAAATGGATATTTTCGTTGAAATATGTTATCCGAAAGTTTTCGATATTACAATACTTCCTTTACTTCGTTCAAGGAAGTAAAAAGAGTAGAACTATCTTTAAAAACAAATTCTTCAAAAATATATTTGAGCAAAGAATTTTAATAATTCCAACCAAATTTTTTTTTACAAAACTGTATGTATCTTAAATATTCATTATAAAATTTGTCTTGTTTATTAATCGGTATTTTATTATTATTTATATACTTTAGTTATATTCTACGACAATCACACTAACACATAAACTTTAACTACTCTTGTGAACTGCTGCACATTAAGCAGATACCTACTAAAATCTAGAAAAATTGCTAAATCTATAAACGGTATATAGAATTGGAAAATTGTTTTAAACTCATATATAATTTTAACAAATTTTATGATAAGAATGTAATCTATTCGATCATTCAATTTAATAAATTCCTTCAAGGAAATAAGTTGTGAGAGCAAATTAAGACTTGTCAAGTTGAAAGAATGTCTATGTGGTTTGCATAAACTACTTTTCTTTAGTTTATCTAAACTAATAAATTGCATTAACTTCATTCTCAATGACAGTTCTATATTTAATAATTGGTAAAATCAATCTTAATTTGGCGATAATTTCAATAATAAACTTTTCAAGAAACTTCATTACCTAGGTTTACCTCCTTCAAGATTTAAAGCATACTATATTTATTGACATTTTATATGAATTAAATTATTATTGAAATTTTCTGGGGTTAAATTCCAGGTACATTCCTTCTATGTTCAAGAGTTTAGATGCATTAGACACTCTTAGAGTTTGAAATTCGAATCAAAAATGAGTAAAAGAAATAATCCGTGGAAGCTCCTTTCATATTTTACATGAAACGTATGCTAATAGATTAACTTATCACGCATTTTTCTGAATTCATACATCGCTGTAGTTTTTTATCAGAGATTTTATTTTTTATATGTGTTTAATATACATCACCGTGTCCCTTGTTCGAAGTTTCTATAAATCAAGGTATAAAATTAAGGCGCCATTTGACGAAAATCGGTCAAGTGCTGCAATACAGAATTCAATATTTACTAAATATATATAATTTATATTAATACTGAGTCTGATATAATTACTTCACTTTTTAATCCAAAATATACATACGGGTTCACTTGAAATTTTATTGATTGTTAAAATTTCTTTCAGTTGCACATCATTTATTTCCCGAAATTTTTGTTTCAGATATAAATAACTGAAATTCAGTTGAAATTTTTAGTAATCTCAGAAATTAACGACCCTTTTAATGAAACAGGAATAATGCCATATATTTTCCACTATTTGCTTTCTCTATCCAGACGGAGTTTCAGAGGAAATTAACTTGTTGCTAATAATGTGATATTGCTGAAACTTTAATTTAATTTCTAATGCTATCAGCTTCGAAATATTATTAATAATTGCATTTTCACTTAAAGTAGCAGGCTAATATCATTTAAGCAAGTAAAGGCCTTGCCCGTTGATGACGTGGTTGATTCCAAGGTGAGACACCACTGGTGTAAACAGTATTCTCAAACTGCGGGATTGGTTTGTTAAGTGATTATGGCAAAGAACTTTCAAGTTCTCTGCTTTAAAAAAGTGATACCTTCGTGGAGGACATTCTAAGAGAAGCTTATTCGTATTTATGGTTACGCGTGAGGAAAATTACTTCCATTCTCCGAGATTCTGAAGCTGATCGAGCTACTAATATTCAATGGCCTTTTCCATTCTGTCATTTTTACTTCCTTGTACGAAGTAAAAAGGAAGTATTGTAATCGCGAAAAATTTCGCGTATCATATTTTAACGAAAATATCCATTTTGACGGCTATCGAATGCAATTTAACGATGTTTTGGCGTGACATCTGTACGGAAGGACAGAATAAAGAAATCTGTTTTCCCCAAAAAATTATAAAACTGATTTAAAACAAATTCTGAAGAGAATTTTTCGTAGCGTCTGTGCGTACGTACATATGCATGCATGTATGCATCTCGCATAACTCAAAAACGATAAGTTTCAGAATGTTGAAATTTTGTGTGTAGGACTCATATAATATGTAGATGTGCACCTCCTATTTTGGTTGCAATCAGCCGCGCCAAAAGGATATAAATATATGCTCACTCTATTACTCGACTTTGTGAGCTCAGATTTTTAATCTTATATGTCGGTAAATTGTGTGTTTTTTGCTTTAAAAATGATATAATCATGTTGTTCTTATCTTCTGGTTAAGGTTTTTATGCCTTAGTTAATCTGCATGTTATAGTTGTATAATTATTAAAAATTTAAAAGTTGTTTAAGTGAGGCTAAGCCTAATTTTTTCTACTATAGCAGCCAAGTTTGTTTGCATTAAAAACTTAGCAGAATAGGGATTGTGCCATCTCGAGAAACTAAGCTTCGCAACTACAAATTAACGTCTTCTTTTATTATTGCGAATTAAATTATGCTTAATATATTCTGGAATTATCATTTAAGTTATTAAATTATCCCATGCATTGATTCAGCAAAGCGTCCACAACAAATTAAATCAGTATCTACATTTTCAGTGTCTTTTTGGAGAGTGAGACCAAACGTAAACTTTCGGTTGGGTGCACCGAAAAATCTGTCTTCGCGCTCGCTAGAAGAATTGCTGGTTTTTGCGTAAAACTGTAATTTTAATTGTACAAATTATTTTTAATTTTTTTAACTGTATTTGGTGTTTTATGTTTTTCTATATCTTTAAATTTTTAATGAAGATATTTTGTGCTTTTTTTATTTTTACCTTGCCGCGAAGTGGGAACTGAATTAATTGAATATGAATTATATCTCTAAAGAAATTCGAGGAAATAAGTGTTTCATGCTAGCGGAAAATACTGTCGGCCAGCCTGTTTCGGGCAGAGCAGAATGTTTACGAGTACCGCATACGCATTAGCTAAGCTACGCTGAATCGTGTATGAAAAACTATTTACTTTTTATTTAACTTCTTTTATACATCGTTTTAGATTTATTATATTATTTGTGGCAACGATTAGATAATTCTTCAGATGATTCTTTTTGCACGCGGGCATTCTGAGTTATAAAATGAATGAGATATAGCCAGAGTATCGCTGTAGTAAATATATAGAATTTTAAAAAGCGCATTTATTCGATTGTGGTTTATGCGCTATCGACGACGTAGATTTAATTCAATTCAATAATGTTTAAATGAAATGCAGGAAAAAAGCGTCATGTGATGTACACATCATATTTTTATTTATCTTACGCTGCAGCAAAGACAACCTTCAAAGCTATTTTAATTGTTTCTTAGAGCAATTTACACCATCACACAGGACAATTAAGATGTTCTTTATCAATTATTATGAATGTTCTCCATTACTGTGAGTTACTTACTCACAATACTTACTGGCACATTAGTTACTTAAGCCAGTTATTACCTTATGCAGAAATAATCAGTTTTTAATATTTCACAAATAAAAGATACATGCAGTTCAAAAATAGTTTATTGCATGCACCTTTTTCATAAATATCAGCTCAAAATTTCATTTTAAAGAGCAGTCTTAGAGGTTATTTCTATAGCTTAATTAACATTGAAGAATTTTACGTTTGAAAATATGTAACCGATGGCATAAATTGCTTCTTTTCTTATTGCAATTAGGCAGTACAGAATGAACTATAGACATGTTTACTACCTATATAAATTAACTCGAAACGAAAAAACAACCATCGAACTTCATTCTAATTACCCTGCTCAGACCTCATTAGGTTTACAATCAATTGTAAGGACATCTGCTTTGTTTTCGCGTTATTCTGGTAGAAAGAAGTCTGCCATTTTATTTACGTTTTACCTTATTACTAGCCGAAAATATTAAAATTGATTTGCAAATTTTAAGATTTATTCTCTTTTTATTACGTACATCTCATATTTTTCGAAAGTATAAAAGCTGAGCAGAAAATTTCGTTTTCTTTTGTAGGCTTTCTATAGTATGATGAATACAATCGTATAGAAAGAGTTATGCATGATACTTTGGGCGGGATAATCCAAGTTTATATGGATGATGTCGGTGAGGTCAATATTTATATTTTTATTAATCTGTGCGTATTATATTCTGTGCCAACGATGGGGTATTTTTTGTCGAGCTTTGTAGACTTTGTCATAACAAAATCAAGGGGGAAGACCCTCAGTACCTCAATGACTTGCATCGAAGATGCTGGAGAGGTATGATGGGTATGGCAAATGAACAGAAACGGGCTTGTTTGCAAGGAAAGCAAGGTTTTCCTCATGGAAGTGAAACTGCGATCCTAGATGGAGGCTACGTTACAAAATAATGCATTTTGAAATGATTTTATACCAGGAACTCAGGAGATGTGACGCAATGCCCCATTTCATACTTGGGTGGCGCGTTTTATACTGTTAGTGAGATTGCCAATGCGCTCCTGATAATTTTAAGGTGAGGAGTCCATAATGGTTTATTATCAAAGGACAGACCTAAGTGTGGCACTGTGTAGTGTCATTAGGTTAGTTGCAAGCAGAAGACGTGAAAAATGCGCAGTGCCTTCGCCGGGACTCGAACCCTGGATCTCTCGAATACGCTTCGAGTATGCTTCCAGTTACACCACGAAAACATGCGGAAAGAAGGGAGAAATTACCTTATAGCTATTTTTAGTGAATGTCCCTGCAATTTTAGGTAAATATTTCTCCGCAGAGAGTGACGGCATCTTATTAACATGCTCTACGCGTACTTCAAGTTTATATTTTCTGGCTCATTGAGCAAAGATATCATCTAGACGCTCCTGCGATCTTTGCTGGATCTCGTTACGACCCGCTACAATTATAAGGAAATCATCAGTGCATGCCAAAACCCTGACTTGGTTGCTGAAGCACTAGAATGCTGTGCTTACTACTAAGTCGTACTTAGGTAGGATCCTTAAAGGCAGCCACGAGTGACTGCTTCGGCACTGGTGTCGATATTCATCGTGATCTGGAATGAGATCTCAGTAAAGCAGGAGAGGGACGAGAAGCTGCTGATAATATCTAACCAACAGATGACGTCGAATGCTCCCTGGATGTCTACGGGAATGATGAGGATGTGTCTGCTTGAGTCCTCATTAAGTTATTAGATCATCCAATGCATTTTCAATTTGCATTCCTGCTCGAAATCTGTACTGCTTACGATGCAGTGGTGGAAAGGTTGTTTTTGGTACATTGTAGAACTTTTCCAAGCGCGGGTAGTAAGCAGATGGGGCGGCATATTGAATAGGGTGTCTTTTAATGATGGAAACTGCTGATAGATAATTTTGATAATGTTATTATCTAGCCCATCTGGGCCAGGGGTTATTTAGAAGCTAAGTATTTATTTAATTATGTGGCTAAACTCATATGCTGTGGGACATAGCACTTTGATTTGTTTGCTGATATCATATGTTTGTTAAAGAGGTGCATTGCATGCTTTTGTGCTGCCGAACTGTTTTCGTTGCTATCTGTGTGATATATGCAATCCATTATACGTCTCACCACGTCTGCACTCTGACTTAGCAGAAGGTAAATGTGAAACTGTCAGCTTTGACCAGGTTATTTAGTTAACACAACAACCACTTCTTTTCCCAATCTTCTATACTTACGGGATACTTTATGAAGTTCACTGTACAGTGTTTCTGCTTGGGCGAGAAAACTGGATATCAGTATTTATAAGTGATTGCTGTTGGTGTTAAGGAAGCTTTTGATGAGTCAGTTATTATTATTATTAACCTTCCACTTTTATACACATTTTCTATCTTGAAATGTAGTTTCATTTATTATAATTAGAAAGTTTACGTTCCATATCTTATATCGTACCGTATATTTTTTCATTTTTTCTAACGACAGGATCGTTCCTTGTCTTGTCACGTGATATGCTATTATGATGATGAATCTGAAGAAATGCGCAATTCACCAAATGGGCAACTCTGCTGTGATATGGTAGGAGTTGGACCAACTGGGGTGAGAATAATTCTTTGCTTTTTTATACATAATAATTTATACTAAAATACATCTTAAATAAAAAAAATTATCTCCATTAACATGTTAGTAATTATAGGTTTTCTAATGTAGAAAATATTTGGAGCTTAATGAACATTTTGTGTACAAAACTACTAAAATAATTTCTTTATAAATTGTTGAAACAATTATACATTCCTTTTAACAGCCAGAAAATGGATCTGTATTGAAAACAATATAGTGCTAGGAAATTATGGAGCTAAAAACGTTCCTCTTATGTCAGACTGAGAAAAAATAGATAATGGAAAGCAAAAGATGAGAAAACTGATAAATTTATCTAATTCATTCCCATAATATCTTGTTAGTATAAATCAAAAGCTGTTAATATTTCATATGCTTAACATATTATCAATGAAAATATATAACTTTAAAGCTAGTTTATGTCTCGACTTTACCTTCTGCATGTTTTAATCTTATTTGCAATTTTTCAGAAATTTATATTAATTCATTTATATTCAAACTTCTAAGACTTCTAAACTTCTAAGAGGCTGTTCGCACATTTTTAGACGATTTTGGTAAGCAGTAATAAGACCTCGTTTTCTGCAAAAGAAGTAATTGTAATTGCACTATGTTTTTAAAAGTCAAAATTATCGTCTGTGGCTTGAAAATTTTGTTTTTATTCAAAAATGGCGAAATTTAAAAAGCAGTGGTTCGAAGATACTTCGCTCTTCCGAAGAGAAATAGCATACTCGTGATCCAAAAACGATGGAGAGTCATGGTTTTGTGAATCTAAAGCGTCGATAGATAATATATCAACAAGAAAGGAAAAAAAATGTCAAATGGGCTCAGTGGGACATAAATTCCAACAGTTCCAAGGAAAAACGGACATCTCGACGATTGCAAGGACGGTTTAATTTAAAAGAAATAACCCTGTCAAAGACGTTGGAAATCATTAAAATGTCGGTGTCCATGTAAACAAAATGATAAAGTTGATTAACTCGTAAGAAGTTAAAAACGCAAGTGCATCGTATTCTTTCAACGCATATCGTCAACGCAGACAGGCAGAAGAATCTATATGAGAAAACTATCCAAATAAAATGGAAAAAATTGTACAATAGATGGCATGGAGTCTTTAGATGATTGTAACATAAAAGCAGCCATTTATTATATAAAAGGGGAGAAAAAAATTCAAGTACATGGTTCAAAGAATCGAAAGAGGTTTTTCTAAGGATTCTGAAGTTGCTGTTTTTTCTTATAATGGCAAGTTAAAATAACAGAGTGCAAAAAAATTTCAAGTACTATCAGGAACATATTTTATCGCCAGTTTCTGAATGAAATACCATCGCTTACCAAGTGCCATCAATATGTGAGACTATCAGGACAAAGCTCGCGGTCACACATCAAAATCATGTAATTTCCTAAATAAATGGAACAAAAAATGATATCAAGGCCATACACTTCAGTTATCCCTACTAAATTACGATGGTCATCTATGAATTTGTGCTTTCGGACTTTTAAAAACTGCATATCCAACGTTTGTCCCAAAACCTAAAGGCTCTGGAAGCGGTCAGAAGGAATGGGATAGATATCTCTTCTACCATTATTTCCTGGAATTGTTTTGCCGCCGAAGATAGTCCGAATAAGGGATGTCAAATAGAAGATTTAAAACACAAGAATTTTATGTAATTTAGTTTTGTGAATATAATATACATCGTCTAAAAAGTGTGTGAACAGCCTCTGTACATGAAAATCAAATATAACATTTATTATTGTCTCAATGTGAATTGAAATTACAATATAGGATGCAAAAGGTATTATGCGCAGGCTGAAAGCGCAATGGATAACTTTCAGTAAGCATGTAAAACGGAACAAAATTCAACCTCGGATTAGTGATAGTTTTATAGAAAAGTGTTGAACTCAAGGACGTCAGATACGAAGTACATGTTTTTTCAGGACTGAAATTATTCTACTTTTGACAACTAGCCTTAGGATGCTTGAAGTATAATCTTCAGGTTGTTGACTGATAAGCAATTTTACTATAAAATCATTGAAAATCTCAATGTAATTTTTCTTAAAATTTGCATAAAGGGAACCATCTTAATGATTTAAAGTACTCTGGTTGTTGGCTTAGAAGCAATTTAATTACAAATTGAAGAACATTGTGTAACACTGAAGAACATTGTGTAATTTTTCTTGAAACTGTAAGGGAATCCATTTTAATAACGTCAAAATTGTACAAAGGGAACTAAATTGGTTACCTGGATTGGGTAAGGAAATTGTTCCAAATTTAGAAGAAGTCTATCAAAGTTTATTTAAAGATTAAAGATATCCAAGGGAGGTTCATTCTTTAAATTTAAAATGCGCTGTTTTTAGGTACATTAAAATGCTAATATCATTAGTAACTCTAACATGCAGAAGAAGTCCACCACAAAATGTTATTTAACATCACACATTTTCGATTTTAATGGCATAATAAGTTTACTTTTTAATTTGTTAAAATTAGCCATGTATACATATGCGTATGTTTTTTATTTACATAGAAATCAAACATAAGGCTGTAATATTTCTGTTAAATTACAGGTATGCGAGGATGGGAAATGTCCGGTAGGTGGTATGATTACTGAAGCCACGTAGGTGGAATGAAGAGATGGTGTTCGATTTGAAGACCTTTCGGTAAGAATGTATTAGCGGCATAAAACAATGGATGGATGTATAAGTTTTATCGAAATAAAATGCACCTAAAAAAATAAATTTTGTCTCTTTCATTACAGTAAATACGTATTCGACCAATAAAAAAATATTTATTCATTTTTCAAATATCTGATAGGGCTGTTCTCCCATTTTATTATTATTATTTACGTGTTCCGCCCTAAGGCACTAGACGGAAGGAAGAGATGCCTTTGGGGACAACTTTCTAAGGGAACTAGCTCGTAATTATACGTTACAAATGGGGATAATCACGAAAACGCCCATGCAGCCAGCCCGTTCGCGGGATTCGAACCTCGAATCGAACTACCAGTGTTCAGGGATTTTACCGCTCGGCCGTTGATGAGCCTGTGCTCCCATTTATCCCGGATATTTACAGTCGGCTTCAGCACTTGTAATGACGAAGAAAAAGTGCTGCTATTTGCTGATGATAGATCCCGGAATTGATCACTGAACTAAGAAAGTCACTGCAACTTTTATTTAAAGACATTCTCCATTTTCATTCATTTTTTATAAAAAAAATTCTCTTATCCTTTCTGTGCTTGGTTCAAATAGAAAATATAGTAGAATATTGAATTATGTTACAGAGACTATTAGGCTACCTTATTCAAAATTTTAAATTTTGATCATTTCTTTAAAATGATATGCATGAAATTGAAATTAAAGTGTTGCCAAACAGAAGTACACAAAATTGAAAACTAAAAAGAAGTAGAAAAGTAAATATTCTTTGTGCCTCAAAATATGTGCTATAAAATTTAATTTTATGAGAAATATCTTTGTCAGTGAAACTTTCAGTATTTAGTGTAATCAAAATTCTGAACTTGAATTTCAAATATATCATTCAATGTTCATGTGTAACATTACTTTTACAAAAATAATATAGGAGTTACAGTTTTACTTTATATGTTTCGGAATACGATCTTCATATTTGAGGTTTTAAAAATTTAATCAGAATTTTAATAAATCAAAAAGTTTAATTGTGTCAGAATTCACTTTTTACAACTTATTTAATGTACTCAGCAATAAAAATCTTAGAAAATTTTCTATTTGCAGTAATGCAAAAGGGCACAATTAAAAGATTTCAATTACTCAAGTTCATCAGTAATTTGTTCCACTGTAAATAAAAATTATACTTTATATCTAAACTTTTATCAAATTATTGAATGAATATACTTTGGGTATATAATATTGAGTTTGATAAAAATTTCTACAGGCAGAAAAAGTTTCATCTTTCAGATTTTTTGAGCAACCTGCAATTCGCATTCCTAATTAGCAATGCATATAGAAAACAGACGAGAAATAATTCTGATGCTGACATGTCTATTATGTTGCAACTGTAGAATCTTTACAGAAATGTAAGAGCTTCACTCTTTTCAAAAGGAAAATGAAATATGAAAGGTAATATCAATGGGCACCTGCTCAAAGCATATGTTTATCTATCACAAACGTTTTGTCTGGTACAACAGTGTCGTTAAGATCTGCTAAAAAGTAAATGTAAAAATAACATAGAATTAGTATAAACATTGCAGGTTATCATAAAGAGTCAGTAGATCTAAATTCTGCCATCAGATCCGCATTAATTTAACATGTCTTCTTCCGTAATTTTTGTAACTGTAATTTGTTTGGTTAGTTTGTTAGTTAGTTCTAAGCACTGGCCTCCAGCCCACCTAACAGATGAAACCTGCCATATGGCTATGAGGGGACAGGGCTAGCCATAAAGCATAACAACCGAGGGCATAACAACCTCCCACCCAAATCGGTCAACCGGTTGAAAAGTTTCAAATCATGAACCATAATAAAATCATATTGTTGCGTTTTTCTCTTCCTGACACCAGTTGGTACGTTAATTTCTTCTTTCATTTCTACGTCGTCTTTTATGGCTCTAGTTTCTTCTGTAAGCTACTCTTCTACCTGTCGGAGTTGCTCTCGCACCTTCTCTTGGCCGCCATTTATTTCTTCTCGTCGGGTTTTCTTCTCTTCCAGTCCGGCCCGGCTTTGATCTCAGCTCTCATCTCTTCCTGTCCGGCTTTCAACTCGGCTAAAAGGTCCATCAAAGTCTTCGTTTCTTCCGCCATGGCTTTTCTCTGCAAGCGGGTCACTGGCATTCACTCGCAAATCCCACTTCTAACACCAATTGTTGCGTTATTTTCTTCCTTCGCTTTCGTACGGGGTTTGTAGATTTGGGAATGAATAACGACGACACCTGATGAAGTATCGAAACGCACTTTACTTACCTAGTATTAATCAGAACAGCTCCAATATCCTCTCTAAGCTCCACGATCTCGCTTTTAATCTTTTCTTGTTCCACTTCCACTTCCATCTGTTAGAATTTTTCTTGGATCTTTTCTTGAATGGGTTTAATTTCGCTCTTGATCTCAGCTCTTATCTCCTCCTGTCCAGCTTTCAACTCGGCTAAAAGGTCCATCAAAGTCTTCGTTTCTTCCGCCATGGCTTTCCTCTGCAGGCGGGTAACTGGCATTCACTCGCAATTCCCACTTATCACACCGGTGACACTGCAACTAAAAGGTACTGGGCTCTCTGGGATTCACTACACTTCTGAAATTGAGTCTTATATTGACTATGGGAAAGCAACGATGGAACTAATAATAGATGGCAGCTTCTGCTTCCTCGAAACCGAATACCTGATGTTCTGAAGGAAATACACAGCAACTCAACAGGAGGGCATTTCGGCTATATGAAGACACTAAACAAGGTCCAAGAGCGCTTCTTCTGGAGTTTGGCAAGAAACGATGTTGAGAAGTGGTGCCGAACTTGTGATGCTTGCGCAGCCAGGAAAGGACCGAAGGGACGTAGCCGAGGAAAGCTGCAGTGATACAAAGTAGAAGCGCTTTTCAAGCGAATTGCCCTCGACATACTTGGACCTTTTCCTCGGACCATGCATAGCAACAAATACATCCTCGTTGTCATGGATTACTTTACGAAGTGGCCCGAAGCTTACCCAGTTACCAGCTGTCACGACAGCTGAAATTCTGTTACAGAATTGGGTGTCCAGATTTGGGACCTCCCCTCAAGGCAGGAACTTCACTTCAGCTATATTCAAGGGACTCTGCTACTTGTTGGGAATCAAAAAAACGCAGACGATCCGGTTACATTCGCAGTCTGGTGGCATGTTGAAGAGGTTTAACCGTACAATCCTGAACCACCTCTCGCTCATGGTTTCCAAAAACCAAGAAGACTGGGATCGCAAGCTGCCCCTGTTCCTGCTTGCAACCCTAAAACTGCTTTGCCGGGAAGCCATCTTACCGCACCTGTACATTTCGTAACAATATACTAAAATACCTCTTTGGTGCAGTGCCGTAGCACCCCAATTAAAATTTTTAGAATTAAAATCACCTAATATTATAAAATTAAAATTGTACAATTTTAAAACGTTTTCTAAAGCATATAAATGTGTATTCAAATCCTCCGCTGGTAAGAAATAAACCGAAGTAATACCAAAGTTATTTTGACCATCAGACGTGCAAACAGCCACAACACAATCTTGTACTACGTCCACTACAAATTCAACTTGTTTCTTAGTAATAATGATAGCGGTTCTACCCATTTCTGCATGCACAACTCTTCAAGTCCATAGAACATGCGCAATTTATTTTAAATATAATAGGGCTCTTGTAAAGTAATAACGCCTGGTGTTTCTTTGATAATGGTATCAATTGCAGAGAGCCTACAAGCAGCGGCAGCACAGTGACTAAAATTAGAGTTTAAAATTTTCATAGATTAAAAGGGGTTCAGAGGTAAAAAGAATATAAATATATAAAAAGATAAAATATGAGTTCACTACATTGTTGCAAATATTTTATACTAAAATAGGTATAATCAGCTAAAAATTTTTATAATTAAAATCATAAAATCATAGTCTCTAGATCAATTAGAAACAAAATCTAGAATAGCCGCTGTGATTTAAAAAAAAAAATAAAAGGCAAGGGAAAATTTTTTTCATTACAAAAATTCACTAGAGTGCAGAAATGTTGCAAAACAAAAAAAACGACAATGATTGAAATGTCCCAGCCGACCAAAATAAATAAGATAAATAAAACTTATTATCAGATGATCCGAATAAATCTAATTTCTTCCAAATACACAGGACATTCCTTAGAAAGAGCATCATGTTCCTCATTATACAGCGTGTTTCAAAAAGAATATACGCATTTCGAATGCATATATTTATTAAACTGTATGACATACGAATATGAAACTTTACGCACATATGTACGAACCTCTCAAGTTCAGATTAGAGATGTTAAATATGTCTTCCCATCAGCGACACGAACAATATCACATCGATACTCAAATTCCTCTCATACACAAGCAAGCATCTCCGTCGTCACTGATGTTACAGTACGGATCCGGTTCTTCACCTCTTCCAGGTTATGTGGGAGTGGTGGTACATAAGCGTTGTTTTTAACGAAAACCCCACAGGGTCACAGAATGCCAAATCCGGTGACCGTGGAGGCCATAAGCATATAAATGCTGAGACATGCTAAGTCGCCAGCTCCTTGACGACTAATCTAACGGTTCGGTAGAGTTTCATTCAGATAATCGCGCACTTGGCGACACCAGTGATGGGGGGGCTGTCTTGTTGAAAAATTGTGTTGTCTTAGTGCAGCCTCGGAAACAACCAGTTTTGTAACATAGCGAGATACTACTGACCGTTAACAGTGTTTCCATCAAAGAAGAATGGGCCATATACAGGTGATCGGGATATCGCATAAAACACATTGATTTTGGGCGAATCTCGTACAAGTTCAATGGCTGCATATGGGTTTTGTAAGCCCCAGATTCGAACATTGTGGTTGTTTAAATGACCACTAACATGAAAAGTCGCTTCATCACTGAACACGATGCGTTGTGCGAAAGTGTCAATAGCATCAATAATCTGTAACTTGTACGGCTTCATAACTAACCGATGTCTCAAAACACGCCAAATTGTTGTTGTAGGCAGTTGTAATTCACGACTGGCACGACGAGTTTAATTTGAAGGACTATGTTGGAGAGCAGTTTGAATTCGTGCAACATTTTCGACGGGAACACGAGGGTGGCCAGGACTCTTTACTTTACATACACATCCTGTATTTACAAACTGTGGATACCATCTGCGAATGTTCCACCCATTCGGAGGATCACTTTGGTATCTCAACTTGAAACGCCTTTGCACTGTAATCAGGAAATTTCACTTCGCAAACTCGAGAATACAAAATAATTTCTGCTGCGGAGTATTTAAACATGTGACGGTTACCACACAAAACAGAAGACATCTAGCGGCTATTAATATAAACTGGACTATATATTCGTTTCGCCAATAGCCGAGCCAAGACGATAGTTTGGACAAAGTAACACTTTATAATACGTATATTCTTTTTGAAACACTCTGTATTTAGTACTGAAACGTCGATTGTATTTTTGCAATTTGTAAATAGAATGAAATCAGAAGAACACTTAGAACGCAAATGATTCTCCTCACACACTCCACAAACGGTTGTGTTTTCACAAAAATCATCTTGTGTGCCCGAAGCCAAGCAGTTGGTGATTGTTTAAGACGAATATATAATTTTACAGAATAAGATTTCCAATTTTACAGAATAAGATTGCTATTCTCTGATCCTCCAAAATAAAATTTTGACACTCGTGAAACATGAAAAACTCAATGCAATATTTCCTGTTCTGAGGCTTCCATTTTATACAATGGCGAACACAGCATCACATGAATATTCCCTTTTTAAAGCCTCTATAAGTATGTCGTCTGAAAGAAAATTAGAAACATCGTAAATAATAGCCTTAGGTCGTATAAATTTTCTACGTTTCGGCGTTACAAGTTGATTAAGTTTTTCGTTATCAATAATCGTTTTTTCCAATTTTCTACAGTCTTCTCTGCTCTTCAGTATAACTACCATATCCTCATTTTTCCTGCAAAAAGAATCTACAATACCGATTTCAATTTTTTTATCAATATTATTTTTTTGTTTCATAATATACATCAATATCTTCCTTGAGGGGCTTTAAGATGATTTCTTTATTTCTCCAGAAATCGGAATGTTCATTCTTCTGATAATTATATGTTTCACTTCATTTTTCTTCACCTCTTTTTCTATACATTGTCAGTTTCTCGTGATCTAATAAATCACGAATCTCACAAACTTCTTTGCCAATAAAATCCAGTTTGTCTTCCTTACGTAGATTTCTTTGCATTTCAACATGTTCCAAATTCTTTAGCGTAATCCATTCTGTGATCTTGTTAATACCAGAACTCAAAGTTTCAATTAAATCTTTATAAACACGTTTTTCTTTCAAAGTTTTCCATGCATGTATACAATAATATAGACACGGAGTAATTAAAATTTGAAAATAGGCTTTTACATAAAAGTACATTAAAATTCGAAAGGCAAATGTTTTCATACATCTGCAAGACAACTTTCAAATGTAAATAAACTGTCTCCTTGCAAAGCTATCTCTGTTCGAAGTTTCAGATATTCATAAAAACATGAAAACGGTCTGAAAATCCATGTAAATCAATTTATAGGTAAATAAAACCATGTAGAATCATAAAAGTACTTCGAAAGTTATTTTCATAGTACCTAAAGTTCAAAATAACGTTATATTATTATTTGGGGACTCTGGTCAAGGTGTTAAACACGCCTTGTTGAGTTTGCAAATAAATGCAATGAATTATATGGTTTCAAACCCACAATCTATTTAAATCTAGATTTGTAACGTAATTAGAACGCTCTATAAATTAATTGAAAAATACAGAAATCTACAAAATAGTAAGTTAGTAAGACGAAATATTTCCTTGAATAAAAATGCTTTTAAGAATTTTATTACAAAACAAGGATAATGTTTCAGCTAACAACACGAGAACAACCAATGAGAAAACAACAAAAAATACTCTTTTTTTCCTACTATAAGATAAACAGCAGATGTGTTAAATAACTCTGAAAGAAACTTGTTCTTTTAACACAAACATATAGATAGTATGGTGAAACTATGCTTGGCGAAAAAAACTAAATTTAAATGGTTAAAAGAACTAACTTTGTCTTATGAAACAGATGAACAACTGATAAGCTAATTCAAAATAATCGCAATCTAGAAAGTATAGTAGATTTACTATTATTTGTTAGCACTATAAACAAGCAGAGCATATGTTAAAAAGTTTACCTCACAGGGAGCTAGGTATAGCCAAGCTTTAAGAGCCTTGGGTGAAAACTAGAAGTCAAAACTATGACCATGCTCCTTCCAAAAGAAATAATTATAATAATAACTCTCAGACCGAGTATATTAGATCACTGAACACTGGCAATTCCACCCGAGTTCAAGTTTCGGTGAACAGGATGTTTGCATATGTACTTTTGTCGTTTCCACATTAGAACATACGTATAGGCCAGTTTCTCTTATAATTTTTTCCACGAAGCCATTTTTTCCCTTAGGTAGATAGGCCTAATATACGCTTTGCCATATTTAAATAATCTAGTCCGAAAGTACCTTTTTAAACTGTAGCTTCACAATATATTTTCATAGCTTCACAAATTATGTTTTAACTATAACTTCACAATATATTTTTAACTTTTAAACAATATATTTTAAACTTTTAAACAATATATTTTTAACTTTTAAACAATATATTGCGAAGCTATAGATAAAACTATAGCTTCACAATATATTGTTTAAAAGTTAAACTATATCTTCACAATAAAAGCTATAAGCTATAACTTCACAATATATTTTTTAAAATTTAACAAGCTGTTAAAATTTGAATTCGATCAAATCGCGATGATTATTTATAAATTAGTGTGGCTTGGGATACTTACTGTGTTATTTCCTGAAACAAAGGTAGTCATATTTCTTAAAATCAGATGATGCGACTGACAATATTAACAGCTTGTGTATTATATGCAGAGATGGGACAGTTTAAATAGCTTCAGGGTATATATTTAAAATGTACGCAAGGATACTTTATTTATTAAACATTAACTTAAAATAAAGAATAAATAAATTGTTCAGCTAAGAGTTTAAAGAATCTGAAAAGCAGTAAAAATCACCCGCAATTTTCTGCAAGCATAATTGAACTTTTCTGCTTCACATATGTTTCGCTTCACCCACTTCGAACAAGCATATTAGAGGAACATTGGTAATTAACAGATTATATGCAAATGAATTGAACTATACCGCTCATCAAGTAATGTCTGTCATTTTCCTTTGAATACAACAGTTGAATTAGGAGAGTTATTGTATAGCTTCAATAAGCTTTCGAAATGTATTAAATAAAAATTACAATTAACATCTGCTCCAAACATATGTTAATTCATCCGATGCCTTGTGTTTGACACATGAATGACACTAGAAATTATGATGGGGTAAATGGAAAAGGTCATTAAGTTAGTATAAATACTTGAAGTGTTCACCAACTAGAAACAGTTCACTCTGAAGACAAGTATCTTACCTTCAGGCTTTTGTTACATCAACATGTCGTCTTCTCTACTATTCGTAGCTCTGGTTTGCTTCGCATCATGCGTAAGTAACTTCTATTTCCCAATTTCTTTCCACATTAAACTTTAAAAAAATTCTAATGAAACATGTGAGGATTTATGACTAGCAAAATGTAAGTGAACATTTGCGACTTTTACCAGCTCATCTTTCAATATATAAGCTAAACATACTCGGATACTGATATTAGACCAAGAAAGAATAACATTCGATTAGTTTATTAGCGATAGATACCATACCATTTTTAACTAGCGATAGATACAATTTTACAATATAAATACCATTGCAATGCAACTCAAATTAGATTTATAGGCAATATTAATCGCGTCTGTGATATCCTTGATTCACACGTTCCTCCTGGGTGGTGCTAACTGAGTAACAACTATAGCTAAGGCGACTCAGAAAGAGAGGAACACTTGAGCCACAAGACAGCAAACCACTTCCTCCAGATGCACTTGAAAAGCATATTTTTGAGAAATTAATAGATACTCTTAAACCTGACCAGGCAGCAAAACCAACAGGCAAATCCTGGGGTAACATTCAAGACACTTGGAAAACGTTTTCTCAAAAACCCGTAAAGAGGCTGTGGCAAACTTCAGACTGCTTACAGACTACAGTTGCATGGCACATCATCTTAATAAAATTGGCATCCTTCCATCTAGTATATGCCGAATTTGTTATTCGGGTATCATAAATGCAGAATATCTTCTTATATGCCCAGAACTAGAACTAGCAAAGAGTCTCAGAAACGTGGTGAGATAAGCAAACTATACTGTAATGCCAAAACTTATATGAACTCCTTGTTAAGACTACATCTGTTATGTTTCTTGTTTAAATTTTTAACTTTTTACTTTTGTTCCCATGTTCATTCCCTTTTTTATTCATTGTTGTTGGCTGTTTGATGTGTTTGGATTTATCCTTTCTATCAACAGATTTATAGCATTTTACATTAATATTACGATAGATACTATTTTACAATACACTACAAATACATTTTGCAATTTTACGATAGTAACCATTTTACATTTAGCGATAGATACCATTTTACAAAGCAAAATACAATGAAGCAAAAATTCTTATGTATAATTTCTTGATTTCATTACAAAATAGCCTAAACTGAGAAGCAGTAAATGTTAAACTAAGTATGATGCTTACTATAAAATTTAGAAATTGACATAACTATGATTATTTAAGTAATTAACTAAGTAAATTATCTGGTGTTTTTAATCTATACGCAGATCAAGCACTAGTTCTAGATGCAGTGATCAAATCGTCAAAAATTATCACATTATCCCTTTGTATAGTCTTCCAGTGTAAGAGGTTATCGCGACCAGCGAGTGATTGGAGAATTCAGTATTCGAGTATCAGAGAAGGTACAGCTGAATTTTCTTTTTTTCTGCTTCGAGAAAAATATCTAAGAATTTTTACAGTGATGTAAACAGCAGAATAACCGCTATACTTACCAGGGTAGCCCAGTCATCCCTTAGGAAAGAATGTATCGGAATGTAAAAAACTACAGCATTTCCCCGTGCATTTAGTTGTAAAGTAGTAATTGGTAAGTATAGTTGGTAAGTGAACATTCGTGGTTCAATTCTTGGAGAGTGCATAAATGGTTTTCATATTTCCTGCTCGTCTTTGTACAATATGTTACGAATATTATTTCTCATTCGATATCAGGGAACTGGAGTGAGTTTTTCTAGTGAAGAGTACATATTTCCTTAGTTGACAAGTGTTGGTTCTTACAGTAAACTCAAAGGGACACTTAAAGTAGTTAATGCAATGAATAAGACTTTGCCAAAAGAGCACAGTCATTCTCTTAATTAATTTATTTATTTATCAGTCTTACATAATTTATATTGTCATTACATCTGCATATTCAATGAGAGATGTCATAGTAAATTAAATATTTAAAAATACCAGAGTTTTAAATTAAATCAACCAGTCATTATTTTAGTCAAATCCAATATTTAAAATTTTCTATGTTTATTTAGAGGATCGGAAATTTTTAAAAATGTGTTTTACGCTTGGAAGTTCAGTACCGGTACACAACTTTGATGATATGAATTATGAGTAATGACTGATTACTCATAATTCATTATTATGAATTATGAGTAATGACTGATGAATGAGTAATGGACTAAAAATGAAAAGCATTTTAAATCAAAAAAAATTGCAAACAGCTGGCAGTTTAGCTATTAATACACAGATATTGCGTTCTCCAAAAGATAAGTTTCAGGTCCCCTTCTTTTATTATAATCAAAGATACAACTTAACTTTCACTAAACGGATTAGCTCAATAGTTAAATTATCATAATAATAAGTTTTCATTTTTGTACAATTTACATGAAATTAACAGAGCTTCATAGCGGTGCTCCACAGATTACGCCACTTTATGCAAGGTATCTGTTTGAAAAAAAAATCCATAAAGATTCCTTAGCATCCTTATAAAACCAGCATCCTTATAAAAGAGATTTTTTATTCATTCCAACAGCTGCCGACTTGCATGAAGGTGCCAGATCCTTGATGATGGTGTGCCATCTTGAAGGCGACCTATTAATAATACTGAACTACTTAATAAAAATCTCATCAGAACTACGAAAGATACATATTGATACATATATCTATGAAGAAATATCAAAGTCTAAAAATTGACTTACGTTTGATTTCCAACACACCAACTGAAAAATCCCCAAAATATTTTTAAATTTATTTGCGAAAAGGAATTATTTTTCCCTAATTTAATTATAGCATTAACATCACGAAATATTCTTGTATTTGGTACATACTTAGTAGCATATGATACATAAAATAAATCAGATACTTTTTTAAATTATTCATGATTTTTCAAACACCAAAGGATAAAAATTAGCGTTATAGCGTATAAATTAAGATTTTAGTTTATTACATCCAAGCGTATTTTGTTCCTCAAGGCGATATCTACTTTCTCTCCTAACGACACAGAGTTAAGTCTGGCTCAGACGAAGCTAATTAAAGTCTTTGCTATTCAAGGTTCGAGATCTAAAACTTTCTTACGTATTTTTTAGTACTGTTCTCGATGCAATGCTTGTACAAGGAACTGGTGAATTTTTGTTTCCCAGTTTCAGTGATCTGAAAGCCAGAAACGAAAATAGTGTTGAAATAGAACATTTTTATCTCCAGCGTGTCAGACTGTTGCCGTTCGGTAAAATGTAAGACTAAGGATCTTGAATAGCAAAGACTTAAATTAGCTTCGTCTGAGGCAGACTTAAATTACTTTGTCTTTAAACTTTAATCACAAATTCGGCTATTTAAAAGCAATGTGTTGCCACTGCCTTAAATGGAATACTTATAATTTCCATTCACCAGTGTGTTGCCATTTTGTAAAGAGTAAGATTTTTAACTTTTAAATTTAGTCTTTCTGTTACTGAGTTGCAAATCAAAGGATTGAAAAGCAATAAATGCAATTTTTAGACGTAGTTGTCTACTTTTTTATCTGATTGATTTAATTAAAAATGCATTAATATCATGAGATGTCTAATTATAAATATTATATATATATATATGAAATATGACTCTTACTGGGCTCATTAAAATCATTGTATACTTGTTCTTTTTTATGATAACTCTTTCAGGCGGCTGGCTGCTGAGCGATTAGTTTTCAAAGATTTAATGTAGAAAATAAAGAAAAAGAATAGCGTACTATCCTAACATTCTATCGGGAAATATAAAATATGCATTTAAAAAATACTTTGTATCTTTGCTATTGAATTTTTTATTTTTGAATTTTATGTGACATAAGTGCGAAGAAAACGCTACCTAATAATAAAGCTTAAAGGAAAATAAAAAAGGGTTTATCAACAGGTATGAGTCTAAGAGCAGATTTGTAAACTTCGATGCTCATCGAGAGCATTAAAAACCTTAACAAATCTTCTGGTGCCAGATTAAAAATTAAATGATTTAGTTTTCTTTCTTTCTTTTTCTATATTTTTAACTCAAAAGGGCTGTTAGTCTCCGATCACGATGTTTTCTTGATTCATGCACTGTAAACGGGTTATTTAATTTTTGAGTCTTTGCCTTTCAGCGAAATGTATTATCTTTCAGTTGAACTCATACTTGTTTCTATACCAGACTGCTGAGCAAAAATTCTGTGGATAAAATTAAATGCTTTTCTTCTGTCCTTACCAAAACAATTTAAAGGTTTTAGAATAATTGTTAAAAATCGAAAAATAAATGACAACGATTTCCTTGCGAACTATAGTCATAAGTCTTACAAATAAGAAATTCAGAGATTTTAACTTTAGCATTTTTCGGTTTGAAGCATAGTTTTCAGCTCAACGATCCGCTGAAATGTAAATTCAAATCTTAAAAATCTTGCTGATAATGTTTCTGTCACTTTCAGGGCTAATAGTATGTTAAGCTTTTAGATAAATAAGGGCCAAAAGTAGTATAAGATAATTAAATTCTTACTTTATTACTACTTTTCCAGAAATGAATAACTAAGTATATTTTCTTGCCTGTGTAACTTTAATATAAATCAATTTCCCTCAGAAAGTTCGCCATGAAAGCATCATTCTTATAGCATATAATCACCGAGTATATCTCCTTAACAAACAGCCGTACTTTTTTCCCCAGGTGGTGGTTTATACTCAAGATGGCGGCCAAGGAGGTCAAGGCGGTGGCATGTCTCGACCTTCGTGGATTATGCCGAATGAGCAAGAGAAGAAAATTTGTGAAGATAATGCAAATGGAAGAACCGTAGTTGAAGCCAAAAAGGTAACTAAAAGTTAATATATATATATATTGTACGTTGGGAAATAAAGCGATATAACTTAAACCTGGTATCTTCCCCAAAATGTGACAAAATGATTTTCAATTCTTTACATTGTAAATTTCAGTAATAATAAATTCTTAACTTTCTTTTTTAATCAAAACGCGCAATGAACATTACACGCAGTAATATTTAAATGTAATAAATGAGAAAATTTAAACAAAGGAAAAAATTTAAAATCCAAAGTACATTGAAACCTAACGAGATAAAGAATTTTTAACATTATAGTTAGTTACTCCAAATAACCGTGAATCAAATTTTAATTTATCTCGGCTTTACTCATAGTTTCACAAGAGAATTTTAACTATAGATGCATCAGGTGAAAAAAAAATTAATTTCACATATCTCATTTAAATGACTATATATTTCCGTATTCCAATGGAATCTTAATGGCCACCATTAATATTCTCGATAAACACTACAAACGCGTTTATACTTTAAGCGTATATTAAACAAAATTTTATTTCAATTGAATAGTAATGGAAAATCAATATTTTAATTGAAATCTAAAATTACTTTAGCCCGCGAACTATCTAAACTTTAAGATGAATTATCAATTACTCAATCTGCATGATATAGACACCTCATTAAAGTAAACTGTAAATTATGTAGTTGAAATTACGTAGTTAAAAATAATTATTTTAAGAATATACTAGCCTGATTCAAATGTAAAGATAGCTAACTTTCTTCCATTTTTCTCTATTTAGGAATACTTCTGTGCAATAAAATGAGATTATAAGGGTAAATATTTGCTGTGATCATCTTTTCAAAATTCTTTCACCTGATCTTTTATGTCTTCTGCGCAAAGGACTTTGTGCAGAAGCATTTGCAGAAATTTCCATTCAGTAAATTTAAAATGTATTTTAAATATTCTCTTCAGTATGAGTAATAGTTAAAGACAAATAAATATCAATTAAAAACTGCAAAACTATTCTTATATTCTTCCTTTAGAAGAAATTTTGAAATTAATGTTGCCACCTTATAATTTCTTTCAGTTTATTATAATATTTAATAAAAACATACGGTTAAAAAAATCTGAAAGGTTTCAGATCTTAAATTTCGTCCAAAGGGGCGTTTTTTTAACATTTTGTGTGTTACCTTTATTTATTAAATATCATGTTCTTTGCATTTAAACCATAAAATTCAGTTCAGTAGCAATGTCGCAATATATTTTTTTTTTTTTTAAATGAACATATCTTTAGAATTTTCGATACACAGTTCCGCTTCTGCTGGAGATAAAAAAGTTTTTTCCTTCCGCCGTAGAGTGTTGTCATTGCTCACTTTTAAATCGTTGTGTTTGTTACTCAAAAGTTCTATAAAGTTTTACAAAAGAGTAAATCGATAAGGAAACAAATTCCAAATTTCAAATTTGGTTTTCCACATGTCCATATTCGTAGGAGGATTACGTCATTCAAACTTCGATGTCTCTAGGTACCGTTGTTTTGTCACAATGCGAGAAATATACGTACATTTACGCAGATTTTTCATTATTTAATTTCTTCAAATATAATGCAGGACTCTAACATTTGGTGGCAACAGTTTGAAAAGTGAAACGGACATTTATTGTGATTCAACGCAAAGCAAAACGAAAACAATAGTCCTTTAGAGACAAAGTTCCTTTGGACTAAAAATTATCAGAGAAGAAAGTATAGCTAATTTTTAAGATAATTTTTCCCAATTTCAGGATCGGCCTCTATCTTGTCACGTGTTGTGCTACTATGACGATGGGTCTGATGAGATGTACAACTCACCAGACAGGCAACTTTGCTGTGATGTAGGTGGTGTCATGCCAACAGGAGTGAGTATCCTTATTATTTTCTTTTACTTTTCTAGTATCAACATAATTTTACATTATACAAACCAATCTTTCCTACCTTACGCAAGCTAATCTTTCTGAAAAATTTAAATCATGGAAGTTTTATTTTTTTACTCATATATTTTCATTTTAATTCATAATCTACTCCTAATGAATTACTTTAGCTTTGCAAACTATCTGCATATTAACAAATTAGTAGAAGTATAAAGTGAAACTCGTGCTGCTTTATAAATCTCATGTGCAAATAATTTGTAATAAGCACAAATGCATGTATAAATTAATAAAAGAATTATTTTTATCTATTTTTAGTTCTGCAAAAATGGAAAATGCCCAATCGGAGGAATGTTTGGTTGAATCTGTCGAATAGAAAACGTTTTACAACTTACAATTCCTACACAATGAATGTATCAGTGAATGAAATAAAATTGCAGTAGCCTCTGTTTTATGTTTATATTTCTTTTTTCTCAGTTTGTGGTGTACGGTAAATTTAACATTTAAAAAATATATGAAACAAAATCTGCTGTAGACACCACATGACTTCCTTATATGGCCTATTAAATTATATACAATTTATTTAATTTTATTTCCTCGACTTTCATTAGAAATGTTTTTCAATCATTAATTCAGTTCTCACTTCGCCGCAAGCCAAAAATACACAAAACTTCAAAACATCTTCATTAAAAATTGAAAAATACAGAAAAACATTAAACACAATGCGGCTGAAACAAAATTTTTGCAATTAAAATTATTGTTTCTACGCAAAAACAAGCAGTTTAGCCAGCGGACAAGAAGGCAGATTTTTTTGGTGCACAAAACTGAAAGTTTATATTTGATCCCACCTGGCAAAAAAATTTTGAAGTTGCATAAATTGACTTAAATCACTATTCTGTTAAGTTTCAATTGTAAATAAATGCCTGCTCCGTTAGGCTTAGTCGCAATTAAGCGACTTTTAAATTGAGGATAATTCTACAGCTATAGAACCAAGATTAACTAAGGCATAAAAGCCTTAACCGGAACATAAGAACAATATAACTGAATCACTTTTAAAGCAAATAATGCACAATTTACCAACATAAAAATCAATTTACCAAGAATAAAAAAGTGAGCTCAACGTGCCGGTAGCAGAGTGGGTATAACTCGTTTTTGAGTTATGCGAGATATATACATACGTACGTACGTACCGACGTCACGAAAAATATCTCTTCTGAATGCCTTTTAAATCCATTTTTTAATCCGTTTTGGGAAACAGAGACCTTCATTCTGTCCGCTCATACAGATATCACGCAAAAACATCGTTCCGATGGATTCGAGAGCGCTCAAAATGGATATTTTCTTTGAAATTTGATACCCAAAATTTTTTACGATTACAACACTTCCTTTACTTTGGCAGTAAATATTAGATGCAAAGCCTTACGCATAATTTCTGGCGTTAAATGCAGGATTTCAGACCAAACCTTCTCTCTCATTTGGGAATTTCAATTATTTTTAAATTTTTTTATGGGCTAAGCAAATTTTTAGAATTTCTTTTATGTGGTAGTTTGCATGAATATTATAATTTCTATTAGTTTACGTCTCTGTTACTTCTATTGTGAAACTGATTTAACTAGCTGCTTCAAAGTTGAAAAGCATTCAGAGTTAGGTTGTTATTAATAATTTAATCTCTATTAGTTTTATCAAAATTCCTTACATATTTATAAGGTTTATTCATCGAGATGACACACCATTGCCCGAATAGTTAAAGATCGCTAACTATTGCAGCTCGTCTCGGGTTCGAACCCAGAAAGTAAGCTGCATTGTAAGTTTTGGTGAAGTTACAATGCAGTTACTAACCCAGCTGCATTGTAAATTTTCGTGAGTTTCCTCATACGCAACGTGAATATGAGCTATTTAGCTTAGGAATTCTTCAACGAAAGTGTTTTTTTTTTTTTTTTTTTTTTAATATGTGATTACGGCAAAGCCTCAAGGTCCATCTGCTTAAGCAGAAGGATATCTTTGGAGTGAACTTTCTAAGGAAAACTGGCTCGTATACACGTTACACATGGAAAAAACCACGAAAACGCCCACGTAGCCAGCCCGTTCGCGGGATTCGAACCTCGGACCGAATTTAGATCAAACTTCGGATTTACAGCTTTCCTGTAAAATAAAATAAATGGCAAACTAAGTTTTGCATAATATTAAAGCTCAGAGTAGCATCTTTCACTTATATTCATGATTTTTTTATATTTCAGATATTTCTTTCAACGCATGCAATAAAGTTTTCTGCAGCTTATAAGAATATTTCCAATTAAAATGGTTTGGTGAAAATGCAGCTCTACTATATGCAAATATGTAGAAAATGAATAATAATATCCACAGATTAATTACTTTATTTAGAATAATATATCACTGATAAATAATGTAACATTTTAATGGAATTTAAACTATGCATCGACCACCAAAATATTATTCGAATTTTCAAACATTTCACAATAATAACATCTGTATACACTGGTTATAAACTTGAAGAGTAAATAAAATAGTTATTCTTAATAGCGTGAACTGGCAGCTCAAATTATGTTTGTTACATCTTTTTCCGTTTAAATCCTACGTTAAAATATTTTAAAAGAGTAACCTACATCTTTGTAAAGCTTAATACCAAATCAAAAACCAGTTCAATTTTTCTTTATCTTCGTTTATGTATTTTGGCCACGTATATTACTTTAGGGATATTTGAGATAGGGTTAATAAATGTCTTAAAGTTTTTGCACTCCTTAATTGCAAAACGAAAGAGAGAAATTTTTGGCATAAAGTGTACAATTACTACTGAATTTTACGGAACCCTTTAATATTCAGTGCGAGATAATATCCTTAACCTCCTGTATTTAGCACTTTGAGCTTTACACATCTTATCTTATCTACTACTAATCCCGATTCACAATACTTCTTTACTAGTTGGTAGATAATGTCCTTCATAGGCGCCGGAGTATTTTTACAAGAAGATTTCGGCATACCAACATTAGGATTTCTTACGGAAAAGTTTACTGAACAACTTTTTTCTGCTCAAAGGTTATCCCTCAACTAATTGACATTCAGTGGCTCTCTAGAAAGCATGAGTAGCAATTTTGCTATCAAAACTTCCATAAAAGCATGTATGAGCATTCTATAGCTAAAGTTTATAACTGTGAAAGTCGTCATGGTGGACAAGAAATTATGTTTGATTGCTTTCACAAACATTTTCTTCAGCCGAAAAAATAATTGTCAAGCACTGGATGTTTGCCAAATGTATGAGATTTTGCGACATACACGTGAAATAAGGTAGCATATGTTATAGTTTGTATGCTGATAATTAGCAGTACATTTTAAATAAAACATGAGGTTTAATAAGAGCTTTGCTTTGTCTACGAACTCAAAACAAAATAAAATCAGGCTAAACCAGGGAGTTTAACTCCAATTAAAAGAAACTAAATTCTCTTAAGCATTTTGAACCGAAACAAAATGCTTCTCTAATTAAAGATCTTCTCTGAGATTTGCTGTTCAGTCCCCTGAAACTGAAGTCCTAAACTGAAGGTCGTTAACTGATAGGAGACCTTGACTCTTTTAGAGAATTCTTGACAATTAAATGGCTTCATTTGCTTCGTTCTAAAGATGCTTAGAAATATAATGTAATTCGATTGCTGAAGATTACACTCTATAAATATGAACTTATTGAGAAAATCAAATGCAAATGAATGTGATCATGAAATCAAGATCACATTAAAAAAATTTATAAAGAAGTAAGTAAATAAAATCCGGAATTCAGTAAAAATTCAGAAACACTGAAGATTCATTAGTTTTTTTTTTTCGTGTGTGCGTGTGTGTGTGTGTGTGTGCTTTGTTTCGAAACAGGAGACGTAAAAATTATGCCATGCCCTAGCCGGGACTCGAACCCTGGACTTCTCAAATATGCGTCTAATATATTTAAAATTACACCACAAAGGCGTGCAGAAAGGAGTGAGAATATGCCTTATAACATTTTATTCCTTTGCAACTGTATAAATTTTGAATCAAATGCCAATTCTAGAATCTCTGTTTTATTGAACACTGGGAAAAGTCTTCAGCCCTTTGAGTCAAGAATTATCTATTTATATTTTTTTGACTAATTTAAGAATCCCACAGTTCTTTCTTAGCTTCTAAATAGTGACCACAGATATTACGAAGACATTTTGTCCACTGAGTATATTCATTTCATTGAATGAACTGAATAAATATTTAAAACTTTCTCTTACTTTTCTGCAACAAGATTTTATTTTATGAGTCGACTTTTAGAGCTTTTTTCCCTTGATGCATCACTTTCAGAGTGCTTGAGCTTCAAAGCTATGTCCATAAATAGTTAATGCATTCAACGTTGCTTAGAATCGAAAATCTATTTTAGGAGTAGTTAGTTTAATGAGTTCTTTACATAGCTGATCGTAAAACAGATGTTAAACCACTTTAAGCTGATGGTGAATAGTTATCAAGTTTTAATACTTTACTCGTTGAAGTGTGCTTCTAAATCCCTTTTAATTTTGATTTATTTGACATCAACACTTGAGCTTTTCGAATTTAAGTAGAAAACCCTAAATATATAAAGCACGTGGTGTGGCCGCCATTTTGTGATTGTAGAAGTTTCGGTGAGTACATTTTTGCAATTTTCAAGTTATGTTTATGTTTTGTACATTTGGATATTGTGCTTTGCTTGTCTGATTTCATGCATTTTGCTTACAAACGTTTTGTTTTCTATTCATTTCAGTGAGGGATTTTTCTGTGTTTTGTGTGTACTTTATTATTGCTCAGTTAATTTAGTTTGATTTTTGCATTGTTTATCATGCCTTCATCCGTTAATCGTTTCACTAAATTACGCCTGAAACGGCAAAAATTCCTGAATCATCTTGACTTTTTACTTAAATGTAAATGTAAAAAATTGATCCCCAATTTTATTCAAATCAAATCTAATCAAAAACCTTCGAGTCGCGTTTCAAGAATTCTGTTAAATTGCAAGCTTGCCTTACTTCGGTCCGTGATAAGGGATACACGTCAACAATTGTCCAAAATTGAACATGAACTCTATAAGCTTCATCTGGAACTCGCTAAATCATATCCAAAATTCACTGCCCTTGAACAAAAGTCTTGGTCTAGAACGGAGAATGCAGTTAACCGTCATAAAAACACCCTTGCAGTTAAATTCGAAAAACTTCTTTTACAGTCTTCCAGTTCAAGTAGTTCAAAAAATCTTCCCATTGTAAACATCAAGCCAATAGTTAATATTTCTAATGTTAGTCTTTCAGAAGAACAAGAGAGAATTCTAAAATATAATTTTAACTTCTCACAAACCTGTAAACCCTCGATTCCAAAGATTTTGGCTCCTATCGAAAAAGCTTTCAAGTTCAGTAAAGTTTCAGATTCACAGAAAGAAATGATTAGGCATCTTATCGCTCATAATGTGAA